AACTAGAATAACAGAATAACTGATTGACCATCAGCTATGACTAGATACATTCTACCCTACGGACAGAGTGGGACCACAGCTGTGGGGCGCACATCAGTGTTCTCTACACTGTTTTCTTGCTGTCACTGTATCCAGTTCCAGCTGGAGTTGCAAATAAGATTGAGTGGAAGTTAAGAGAGTTCCTGTAGAAGGGGTGGAAGGACAACAAGAAGATTCATTTAGTAAATTGGGAGAAGGTTTGTAAACAAAAAAAAAAAGATTGGAGGACTGAGAATAAGAAAAATTCGGGAAATGAATTTAGCTTTACCTGGAAAGTGGTCTTGGAGGTATGGTCAACAAGGAAATTTCTTGGGGAAGAGAGTAATTGAAGAAAAATATGGTTCAAGGAATGAAGGTTGGGTTCCTGGAGGTGCCAATCAGTCATATGGTTGCTCGGTTTGGAAGGAATGCTTTTAGCAGGGAAATCAAGTTTGTTGTGGGGAGAGGTAATAGATTCAATTTCTGGATGGATGTTTGGTGTGGAAACAATAGGCTAATGGATGATTTCCTAGAGCTATTTGCAATTGCATCAAACAAGGAAGCTAAAGTGGCAGATTATGTCCAGTTCCAAAATGGGATGATTATCTGGAATCCTACTTTCAGAAGGGCTTTGAATGATTGGGAGATTGAACCATTAGGTAGGTTGAAGGGATGAGAGATCCATCATATGGATAGCCGAACCCTGCAGGTAGGTTGGGCGAAATTTCAAAAATTTTTCTCTCCCATCTGGGAATCACATTCCCTATTTTAGAAAACTGCATTTTCAAGGATCAATTTTGAACCCTAAACCAGACCAGATCTGAAACCAAAAAGGTAGGAGAGGGATATACCTGATACAGAGTAGTAGTAACTCCTAATGAAGGTGTTCACGCCCAAGGAGATCTCCAAAGACTGCTCTCACTGAAGATGACATAGTGTAGGGTGGAGCAGAATCAACAGGGTGGTCCTTCAGCAAGAACCTAATTCTTCACCAAGAATCTGATGGAGGGCGAGTGAGCACGACTTCAGATCAGTTTTTCTCCAAAAACTAATATCAAGAACCTTTCTTGATCGCTCTTACAGGTGAAGATCGAACTG